TAATTTGATGAGTGTCAAGGTTATTTCAAGCATATCACTACCTAAGTTTCATCACAAAGCTCAAAGTTTTCAATTTTCTTAGGGCATAATTACTGAAAAAGCTATATCTCCTAATTATCCTTGGTCATTCATTGCCCTAAAATTTTCGTTTACCCACATCTTGGGGGCAAAATTACTAAAAAGCCAAATTATGTAATTTTTCAATCTTTTTTGGAGAACATCTTGAGCTTCAATTGTAAAAACAAAAAAAAAAAAAGAGAGCAAAAGAAAATTGAAAAAAAAGAATTAATTGTAACCTCATGTATATGAGATATTCAAATGATTCCAAAATGAAAAGAAAAAATCTTTTCTTGAAAATTATTTTTTAATAGAGGTATTCATATTTGATATGATAAATGGCCATATTTCATATTCCTTTCACAAAAGAAGGTATCCATTTACTGTCCCTTTTGGTCCTATTGAATTTTTTTTTAAGAAATTCTAAACAAAGATCACTCTCCATGTTGGGGAGCAAGCATTAGATTCAAAGTTAAGGACAAGGAAAGAATGTCTACAGTCAAAAGGTAAGTTCTAAAATTTTAGGCTTAATTTGTTAGAATGGAAACATGAAAGAAAAAAGAAAAGAAAAAGAGAAAAAAATGAAAAACGAAATGAAAGAAATGAAAAAAGAAAGATGAAAAAATATAGAAAGGAAAATGTCTTTCAGAAAAAAATGATCCTTGGTTTGATTACCTTTGAATACATTTTTTAGCCTATTTATCTGTTTTTTTTTTAAAAACTCCAAACTTTGGCCTACATTAGGTCAATTGAAAAGCACATTTTAATCAAGTGTGGATATATAAATTGAAGAATTTTTTTAAGGAAATCACTATGACTTTTGAATTTTGGATGAATTTTGAGTTTTCAAAAGCATGATGGAATAGTAAAAAAAAAAGGAAAATAAAATTAAATAAAGCTCTAAAGTGAAAACCCGAAAAGACAGTCTAGAGCAAGATTAAAATTTTGAAAGCAACTTAGGCAATTTCACTAGAGGAAGAGATTTTGAATGAACAAAGAAAACCATTGAGAAATCCAAGAAAATGAATCCTAATTTGAAGAATTGTTTTGAAATTCAAGCATTTCTTTATTTCCTAAAAATTTTAAGCCCATCACAATTAGTCTTGGCATTTGTTAAAATACTATATCAAGAAATTAAGAAAGTGTAAAAGTGGATTGTGCTTTAAAAGATAATTTTTCATTTGTGAGCCTTGGTAAAGAACTATTGATTTGCTTTTCCTATCTAGTGGCAAAATGTCTTTTGATAATTAAGATCTTGATGTATCAAACCATTTTATTCTTTTGTAAATACCAAGTTGGGATATACCTCTATCATTCTATGTAATAATTACCAATTTCTAAGAGATTCGATCACCTGTTTTCAAAAGAATATGTATTTTTGGATCATGGAATAGTTATATAGGGCAATTTCTTTTGTTATCATATTGAGGCATTTGTGATGAGGACATTCATATTTAAATTGACATGAATTGGTGTGGTTAAGAAATATGTAATTTTCAAGATCATAAAAGTGACTTTTTTTAGACAAGGAGAATATCTAAGCTAAAGATTGGAAAAGATATATGGTTAAGAGGAACGATTTTGAAAAATGAAATACTTTGAGTTAAAAATACTTGGAGAAAAGCTTGAGAACCTTATTACCACAAATAGAATTACATGACATTGATTGACATTTGCATTACATTCATGATTTTTTTTTATGTATAAAAATTTTGATTTTGGATTTTGAAATTAAATTCAGTGAAACGATGAGGAATTTTCTAAGAAAATGTTGTTCCTTAGATAAGAAGATGTTTTCTGGATAAGATTTTGACCATTGGATGGAAATTTTGTTAAGATTTTGACTCCCAATTGCAAATAAATTTTTTAATTAAGTGGATGAGAAAGATATTTTAAAAAGACTTTAATGTTGTTAAGTCGTTGTTTATAAGAGCTTTTTTCATCACAGGATGAGAATCTTTTATGTGAATCCTTGGGGACATTGAATTTTAGATATGAACTTTTTGAATATGAATATTTGAATTTTGGATGAGAATCTCTAAAATTTTTAAATAAGAATATTTGAATTTTGGATGTAAATCTCTAAATTTTTTCAAATGAGAATCTTTGAACTTTTCAAATGAGAAATTTTGAACTTTGTGAATGTGAATTTATGAATTTTGGATGTGGATCTCTAAATTTTTTTCAAATTTGAAAATTTGAATTTTAGATGTAAATTTTTAAAATTTTCAAATGAAAGTCTTTGAACTTTTTGAACGTAAATTTTTGAAATTTTGGATGTGAATCTTTAAATTTGTTTTTTCAAATGTGAATTTTTGAATTTTAGATTTCAACCTCTAAAAATTTTTAAATAAGAATCTTTGAGTTTCAAATACGAATATTTAAATGTTTGATGTAAATCTCTAAAATTTTAAAATGAGAATCATTGAAATTTGGATGTGAGTCTCTAAAATTTTTTGAATGTAATTTTTGAATTTTTTGATATGAATCTCTAAGATTTTCAAATGCAAACATTTGAATCTTGGATGTAAATCTCTAAAATTTTTAAATGTGAATCTTTGAAATTTGTGAATATTTGAATTTTTATGAATCTTTTAGAATTTTTGAATTTTTGTGAATTTTGAATCTTTTTCAAAATTTTGAAGTTTTTGCAAGTCTTTGAATCTTTTACAAGTCTTGAATCTTTTGCAAACTTTTGAATTTTTGCGAATCATGAATTTTTTATAAATCTTGAATTTTTTACAAATCCTTGAATCTTTTGTGAACCTTTCAATCTTTTGCGAATCTTAAATTTTGCAAACTTTTGACTTCTTGCAAATTATTGAAATCTTGCGAATTTTTGGATTATTGTGAATCTTTCAATTCTTGCTTTGAGACCTTGTGAATCTTTGAAATCTTGCTAGCCTTTAAATTTAATTGTGAATCCTTAAATTTCAAATTGTAAACCTTTGAATTTCAAGTTATGAAGTTTTAAAAAGTGTGCAAATTACGAATATTTATTTTAGATGAGCAATTCTAAATTTTTATTTTGAGTCAGATCTAAATGAAATGGATGTGTATGTCTATGCTTAATTTTTGTTTCACAAAAAATATGCAAAAAAGGCAGTTGTAGACATCCAATTTGTCTGAATTTTTTTTTATATATTGTCAGGTCTCGAAATTCATTTTGATATTGGGCTTTAAAAGTTAATTTTAAAGACCAAATGTAAAGGTTCAGAGTGTTTTTATTTTTATTTATGTTATATTATTTGGTAAAAAAACACATAAATTTTCATTTTTTTAAAAGATTGTAATTTGTTTAGATTTAAAATTTAAAGATTGAGTTTAATTTTGATAATTCTTGGGAATCAAGTTTCTATGAAAGGAAAAGAAATTTTCATAGGATTTTGATAGATTTAGTTGGCATTAAAATTTTCCAAATTGAAAACAGATTCAATCCCTAACCTTTTATAACAAGCCCAAATCTCAGTAAAAAATCACCAACAATCAAATAATCAAGAAGCAAAAGAAGAAGCAATACAATCGACAATCATCAAGCAACACAAAGTTTTGAATTTAGAAGAAAAAGTTCTCAATCAAAGGGAGAAGAAAAATCACCAAGCAAAAAGAGAGAGAGCCACATATATAATATTAAAGCAAAAAGAGTGAAGCAAAATTTTTTTTGGTAATAGGCGTTATTTCAAGATGGTCCAAGAGCATTACTGAGGTATATTTTCTTTTCTGTGTTATATTTATTTGTTGTTTAATGTGGTTTGAGGTAATATTTGTGATAATAATTTTTATGACATATTTTGTTTGGTTAGTTTTTTTTTTTTACTTATTTTTTTATTCCTTATTTTTTTATTGAGGTTTGATTATTTTATTTGCTTATTGATTTATTGATTTAATTGATGTAAATAAAAATTAAATTACATTTTTTAGAAAAATGTAAATATATTATTTTATAATTAGAAAGTTGTAAATATAATTGTATCATTATTTGTAATTAATATTTTGTAAATAAAAAGAAATAAAAGCATTTGAATTAAGATATAGATAGAATAATATGTGACTAATTTTGTTCCAATTTTGGCCATTGTGAAAGTGCTAATACATTCTTTGCACATAATCCACTCTTAAACTTAATTATGATGATATAGACCAGAACCTATTTTTTTTTATGGATACTTAGTTTAAACTTTGGATAATTAATGAATAGATTTACATAGGTAACTGATCACACTTAAATAAAAAAGATTGGTAATAAATTCATAATTTTTATGTCTAATAGATATATTTTCAAACTTAAATGTTATGATATATATCCCACACATAATACGCATTTGTGAATGCAACCATATCACAAAAAGTAATTGAAACTGAAAAAGAAAAGAAATGTCCTTGTAGGCTGTCTCTTGTTTTCTTCCCTTCACGAAGAGATTTCATAAGGAAAACATTATGAATCTATATTTGACGTTTTGTTAATGTAAAATTATTATACATTATCATTATTATACAGTAACATTTTATAAAAAAATTATTTTAAATATATTTTAAAAATTAAGTGCATTTACCTTTTAAAATCTTAAAATTTTAAAATTAATTTTTAGGTGATGCTATTATATGATAATAATGTCTAACATTTATATATTGATAATACACCAAGTAGTTAGACTTATAAAATGTCAAAGAAAAAAAGGTAAGAATTTTCATTTTATACATAAAATAGAGACTAAGCGCCTCTTCTTGTCGCAACAGTGCAGACATCACATGTTTTATGCACTAGGGAAAACCAATACTTTGCCTTTGGTATATAAAAAAAGGGTCCTCCAAACATGGCATGTTTGAAATTAAAAAAAAAAAAAAGAGAATTCGAAATTTAAATCATTTAATTTTTATAATTATTTTTAAAAATAATATTTAATAAATTTAAAGTTTGAATTTTAACACCTATAATTATTTTGTTTATCTTCCGGCTACATCCTTTTGTGTACCAAAAGATTAAGAGGGGAAGGAAGGTACAAGGAGAATGTAATCAAATCTAGAAGGGAACGTTTTGAAAATTTTTGTAATATTACAGTATAAAGCTCCGTTCCTTCAATATAAAACTGACATAGTCACACCCTCCTCAACTTGATTTACTATTACGAATTCCCTTCATGGTTTAAATATTAATGTATATGCTACTTCCAAGTTGAAAGTTGAAACCTGAAAGATGCTAAGGAGTAATGTTTTTTCTTCTATATATATATGCCTAGGAAAAATATTTAGTCCCAAATGGGCTCAACCTGCATTTCGTTGTAGTCACTCGTCAGCTCGGCATGATCAACTCCACAGAACATTGGCTCTGCCAACAAAAGAGCACCTGTCAATTCCATCCACATCTTGGGAGAATCCAGCGGAAACTCATTGATAGCCTGAATTTGACTCTGTGACAGTCCGACCCTAATCGGACCAATTCTCCCACCAGCAGCTGCACCCACCTCCGAACTTATCTTTGGTCTTCTAACCCTCAATGCTGCCTCTTGAGCTGCCATTTGCACGTCTTCCGCAGTTGAGCTAGCCGGGCGTGGAAGGCTGTCAACCAACTCCGGAAAGTTAAGTCGAGCGGCTCGCCCTCGGAAATGTAATGCCGCCACATCATAGGCTGCAGCTGCCATTTCAGCTGTCTCATAGCTTCCTAGCCATATTCGGGTCTTCTTCCCTGGCTCGCGAATTTCAGACACCCATTTCCCCCATTTCCTTTGGCGTACACCTCTGTAATTAGATGGACTAACTCTTGCATGATGGTCAACTTCATGTTCCATTTTCTAGGCTATGCTGAAGAACAAAGTGATCAAAGAAGATCAGAAGAGAAAGACCTGTGGCTTTGTATATATGGATTGGGGGAAAAGAGTGAGTGTTTCAATGGATATTTATAATAGAAGAGGTGATGGTGAGGGGTGGAAGAAGTGAACTTCCGAGCAGCTACGCGCAGTGGGAAGTGGCTGTCATGCCTGCGTGGAACAATTTTTTTTTTTTTTTTTAGAATGATGCAATCACATCCAAATTTCCTCTATTTTTGTTTTTCTGGTTCATTTTTTAAAATATATGTAAATTTTTAATGGCTTTTCAAATGGTAGGTGTGTATCTTGGGATTCAACCAAAAACACAAGTCTTCTCTTTTGAAATTTCGTGCCATTCCATCAACACAGTGAGATTCACAGCCAGCAGTCAATGCTATACAAAAATAAGCACGTGGTAATTGAATTTAAGTAATAGAATTTTCATAATTTTTAATTTTTTAACCGTGTGATTGCGACATTTTCTACATTCACATTTGTTTCTTAAAATAATAATTAAAAAATTATATATGTAAATAAGGAAGTGAAATATAGTAGTTCCAACCACTATTAGGTTGGTTAAGATGTTGAAAATTTAAATCCCAATAACTAGTTTGGTATTGACATGATAATTTGTATATTTATATTCCATATATTGTGAGTTAAATATATGTAAAACATGAAAATTATACTATCGCAATTGATGTTAATACATTAAATATAAAACATAATTTTTTAGTTTGTTAAATCAAAATACATTTTTTTTTAAATTTTAAATCATGTTATTTTCTTTTTTTTTTCACGTCTAAAATTGTCAAGTTTTATACTAACTTACTGTGAGGTTAGAAGAACTGCTCGTTAATTTATATTATTAGTGTAATAAACTTTTTGGTTTTTTATATATAATACTTGTGGTTTATACTAAGGGACGCAATCCTATCTTTCTTTTCATAAATTTAAAAGAAATCGACATTTAATTGTGGTTGATTAATGGAATACATTCTTAAGAGGTAAAATTTTATAAATTTAAAATTTAAATTTTAATATCTATAATCATTTCTCTTATTTTTAAACTGTGATTTTCTTTATTTAAAACAAATCCACTCTCATATTTTAGATTGAAATCTAATTAAGACTTTCAAACTTGAAGTCTTAAAAATTTTTTTTCCTTAATTTTGCAAGTCCCATCTTTGTTAGCTAAAATTTTAAAATCTTAAAAAGTCAATACATTTAACCCTGAAAATATATTTAAAATTAATTTATTTTATAAAATGTAATTGTATGGTTCATAACTGACGGCACATTAAGTATAAATCTAATAATATCATAACTGATTTAATTCTATCTAATTGGATTAGCAATGTCACAACACGTTATTGAAAGAAAAAGAGAGAATAACATTGATATTTTCCATTTTTTTACGTTTACATATGGTAGGTGTTACGTAAAATTGGGATCCTTAATTGGGAGAGGTGATAGAAGCACATCTATTTAACTTTCTAGACCCCTCCTACCACTTCTAATTCCTTCCACCCAAGTCCGGATTATCCATTTTCAATTTCCTATTGAAACACGCAAATGAAATTTTCTTTTGTGTGTAAAATAAATCATATCATGGGACACGAAACCTTAATTTATATAATTACTTTTTAGAGGTGATTTTTAATAAGTATAGACTTCATTATAGCATTTATAATTGCTTCTCTTATCTCTAAGATACAATCTTTTATGTATAAAAAAATAATCGTGTTCTGATTTTTAATTATTAAAATTAGATATTGTAATATGTTTTTTTTAATCCATTAAAAATTTATTGGGCTTGAATTACATAAACGGAAACAACTCTCTTTCACCCTAAAATTCTATATCACACTGTCCCAGGAATTGAACGTTAAACCTTTATATTATGTTTGGTCGAAGGAACGAAAATAGAGGGAAGGAAAAATATGAAGAAAAAATGTAAAAGGAGAAGGAAAGTCTTTTTTTTTTTTTTTTCATTGTGTTTGATATAAAAAATTAAAAATAGAGAAACAAAAATTAAAGGTAAAATTGTAAATAAATCATTTAATTTAAATAACAAGTGCATTTTCTCTCAATTTGCAAGAATTAAATTAAAAAAAATCTCTTTTACGTACCATATAAAGGAAGAAAATGAAAAAAAAAAAATTATGGCTTTTTCACTCATTTTTAAAGTTGATAATTTAAAACACGATACGATGACATGATACGAAATGGTATGAATAAAGGACACAGAGATAATATGACTTAAAATTTTAGAAAAATTATAAACAAGTTTAATAAAACAAAAAATATATATTTTATGTTTTCACATCTATATAAATTATAATATGCGATTTTTATGTAAAACATGATAAAAAAAATAATTTACACAATACAATGATATAAATTGTTAAGTCTACTTTTTTCGTTTTCTTTGGACTTTCTTTACTCTCAAATAAAATGTTAAGCAATGCTGACAATTAAGAGTTGGAATATTGTTTGTCTCACTGGGGATGTATTATTTCTTATATATATATATATATATATATATATATATGGCACCACTTTAACATTTATTTTTTTGTTGGTAAAGAAACATGCATGTTCTCTAATAAAATGATTATTTGATTAATTCTCTAATAAAATTATTACATATCAGATTTTGGAAAAATGGGTACCTTAATTTGGGAAGGCAAAGAAAAATTAATCCTAGCTATTTGAAGTCAATGCATAAAAAGAATCTATTTCAAAAATCTTAAAAACACATCTGAAAATTATCAAAAACAACATATATTCATTTATGTAATTTGCAAATGAAGTAATCTTTACATGTTAATGTAAATTTCAGTTAATATACAGTCTGTTAGTTTATTTAGTTGTAAAATAGATAATAATATTTTCAATAATAGATAAAATAAAAAGTATTCACTTGTGATAACAAATACTAGTATATATAAAAGCATAGATACTTGAAAATTTTTAAATTGACTAAAATGATCATTATTATTCATTATATTTCTAAATTGTCAATATAAATATTTATTATTAATATATTTTGTCTGATTTATAAGTTAAAAATTAATTTCATTAAAATATTTTTTAAATGGATTTATTTGCAAAAATTAAAAAAGTTTAAGTTTACATTAAATTACTTTATTTTTAAAGTTTTAATTTTTCATTAACCTTAAAAAGTAAATCGTTTAATTTAATTAGAAATAAAAAATTAAATTATTTTATTATCAGAGTTTTAACTTTTTGTTAACATTAAAAAATTAAAAAAAAAGTTTATGAATACAATGTACTATATTAATATCGATTATTCATATAATACATAACTTTATATTTAATATATAATTTTTTTATTAATAAATAAATTTTTACATGCGAACTCATTCGACACCTCTTATTAATAATAATAAATTAATGGTAGGTAGCTTGTCACAAGGTAAAAAAAAAAAAAAAAATTGTAAAATGCACTTTGAGTTTTGATTCTTGAGAATATGAAAAACAGTCCAGAACTTTCCCCAAACGCGAAGCGACTCTCATCAACAGTGTCTAACATGTTTTGCACGAGGCATGACAAAGAAATGAAAACAATGGAGTCTGTACGGATTGCCCCGGCCATTTTCAAAATCCAATGCGGTCAACAGGCCGTGGCGGTGGACGCTAAAGCCGTTACTTTGGGTACGGTGTGGGACGGTGGGCAGGTGGGCGGTCAAGTTGGCTGGAAAGTCCAAATAAGTGACACGATAATGTTAATGCAAGACAGACCAAAGTGTGTTGGTTTCGGCAAATATAGCTTGATCCAGCTGTTTCAGTTAGCTGATTGACTACAACACAAAGGAATGGCCGGTGCTTCATTAGTTAGGTGGTATGTTCAAATCATGTGATAAAAGAAAAACTTTGGTTTTTTATAGGAAAGAAGTTTATAATTTATTTTTTTCAATGTTAATGTTGTAGACACCTCATTTGTCCGGGTCCAGGTCCATTGGGCCTCAATAGAAGTTGGGCTTAAGTTCATTGGGCTTAACTCAAACCTGATCCAAATAAGGTAAAAGGGCTCAATTTTAGTTTTAATTTTATTTTATTTTTTATTCTATTTTTGATTTATTATTATTATTAATTTTTTATTTTCGTATTTATTTATTTATTTTTATTTTTTGATCTCTTGATCCGAAAATTGAGCTCTAATTTCTATTTTCCTTTTAAAAGGTGGAGTGATAGGATTGAATTGGGATTCAAGGATTGAATTGGGATTCAAGGATTGAATTAGGATTCAATTGAATCCCAGTCAAATAGGGAATAAGAATTGATCAGAAACTGTTTCTGACCAATGCCTGTAAATATAGGGCTCCAAACATAACAACACACACAAACAACAAAAGGGGATGGAAAGCTAAAAACAAAAGGCAGACGTCTTAAAAATCTTCTATGAGTGGTTAGAAGCAATTTACAAATTTTTTTTGAATTTGATTTTTGAATTTTTGGTTTTTTTTTTTTAGAAAATTTTTGAAAATTTTCTAGATTCTGGGTGAATTTTCTGGCGGTATTTGAATTTTTCGACAATTTTTTCGGTCAACTTTGAGGTTTCCGACATAAATTTTTAGTTTCTGGTTAAATATTCAATCGAAAACTGGGATCAGATAGAGAGAAGGAAGAGAAAAAAAGGAGAGAGGAAAGAAGGAAGAAGGCGCATTTGCTGAAAGGTTGGGTTATTTGCCTTTTATACCTGCCCAAAACGACATCGTTTTGGTCTTAAGAAGACCCTAGGATCCGCGCGTTTGCACTTAGGCGACTTGACCCGGAGCGCCAACCCGCTTCTGACCTGCTTACCAGCAGATTCATGGAGTCGAGCCGAGCCGAGCCGAGCCTTCGAGCCGCCTTTTATGCCTGAAGACGAGTCGCACTAGCCGCAAGCCGAGCCATTTTCAGATATTTTTGGTATTTTCTTATTTATTTAAGTATTTTATTTGTTTATTTATTTTTTTCTTAGTTTTTTTTAAATTTAATTAAAATAAAATTAATAAAAAATAAAAAATTTGGGAATAACTATTAATTTTCTAATGATGGAATTCATAAAAATTTCAAATGACAAAATTTTATGAAATTCCTAGGTGAGAAATTTTGTTTAAATTTGTCCCAAATGATTAAATAGTTTAGATAAAATTTCAATAACAATAATTAATATTTTTTTCAAACAAAAAACATTAAAAACATAAAAAGCATAAAAATATAAAAAAAAATTTGAATTAAATACAAATTACCCAAGGATGAGATTTTTAGAAATTTCAAATGGTAAATTCTTAAGAAATCT